GTAAACTAAACAATATTTGTCTGGGCACTACATCAAAATTCTTTACCAAATTTGAATTAAAAATCAAATACAGAAAATAAACACTGTGATAAAAATTTAAAAAAATAAAAAGAGAATTAAAATGAGTGAGTGTGCCAGCACCTTTTCGACACCGCCATCTTTGCCGATTTTTAATTATTTTTTGGCATTGACAAATGCCCTGAAAGCTTATAGATATGTAGTTTACATAATCAATAACTCATTAATTTTTTTCTAAACATAATAAATTTTTGTAGGCCCCGAGTGGGCGAGCACGTTTTGACACCCCCATCTTTGACGATTTTTAATGTTTTTTTGGATTAGCAGAATGGCTTCAAAATTTATAGGCGTGTAGGTTACATCATAGAGAAATCACAAAAACAAATTCAGACAATAAAACTAATTTTAGGCCCCGAAATGTTTTTTGGCGGGGGCCAAACCTGGAGGTGTTCGGCCCCCGAACGGGACCCCGAACGCCCGAACGTTCGCAAGCCAGCCCGGGGGCCCTCGAACGTTCGGCCAGGTAACCCTATTGTGCAGTATCTCTATACAAGAAACACTTGCCTTAGCACAAAAAAAATAAAACGAAAATATACAACGCCCAGTTTAGGTGGTTTATTTTTATTCCACGTTTTTAATAAAAATTTTGTAATGGTGCTCARGCAACTATTTCTTGTATGGAGATGCTGCACAACAGATATGTTTTTCATATTGTTTGGAKAGTTTTGTGTTTTTTTTCCCCTACCCTTGCTACGTGATTCTGAAATTGATTATATTACTTAATCGAATCAATTTCAGAATCGCGTCGCGCGAGCGGAAAAAAAAAAAAAAACAACTAAAAAATATAAAAACCAATTATGTTGTGCAGCATCTCTAAATTAGAAACATTTGCCAGAGCACCATGATATAAGTCYTATTCAACAAGTGGAAAAAAATCTAGGTTACGGACATCCGTGGTCCGGGTCGTCCGGATTTTCGGACAACGTTTTTTTCGGGTGAAAAAAAAGTCAAAAAAAAGAAAGAAAAAGGGTTGTCTTGCGCTGGTTTTTGGGGCCCCCCTCACTAAATTTGACGTGAAGCAGAGCACTTTTGTGAAATAATTAGTACTTGGGGGGTTTGTGAAATGATTGATTGATTGTTTGATTCAACGATTGATTGATAGATTCACAAACATCGTTTTCACACGCCTCTTTCCTGCCCCCACGCCACGTTCAATCAATCAATCAATCAATCAATCAATCAATCAATCAATCAATTAATCAATCAATGAATTAATCAATCAATCAATCAATCAATCAATCAATCAATCAATCAATCAATCAATCAATCAATCAATCAATCAATCAATCAATCCGTCGAGATCGACGGATTGATTGATTGATTGATTGATTGATTGATTGATTGATTGATTGATTGATTGATTGATTGATTGATCGATCGATTGATTGATTGATTGATTGATTGATTGATTGATTGTTTGATTGATTGATTGTTTGATTGATTGATTGATTGATTGATTGTGAGTGGCGGTGGGC